TGCAGGGAAGGTATGTACATCCTAAATCCATCTTCAGTCGCCAGTCATTTCGTCCCTCGTCCATTGCCATTTTGCTCGCTCATATCGCGCCCCCATTGCTCCTGTATCTCCTCCAACAGGCCAGGCGTTGCAAATACATCAATTGCTGTCCCAGCCATGGCCTTGGCAACCCTCATGGCCCGATCAAACGCTCCCCTGGTTCCGGATGCCTTTTCAAAGTCCGGAGTATGTGGCGGTCCCGCTTCGGCACCAGGAGGAATAGCGAAGCTGACATTCATACTCGGCAGAGCATAACTCAAATTTCCCTGGTCTGTACTCGCCTTCACCCACGTGAAATGCCCTGGCGGTGGTAGCGGCGGGTCGGGTTGATCGGGCATGGCCTCCCAGTACTTTCTGTACGACGCCGCAAGTACGCGGTTCGGAAAGTGGTCCTTGTAGCCTGGCACAGCCTCGATCTCGACCCTCGCCCCCGTAGCTTCAGCCCCGGCGTTGAAACAGGCCTCGACCTTCCTCTGCAGCTCCTGCAATCGGGATGAGCTGGCGGCACGGAGCACGGCAACGCCAGCAGCGTGCTCGTGGATGACGTTGGGTTTATTCCCACCGTTTGTGATTTGCAAACCTACAACGTCGTCGGGCCTTGTCTGCTGGCGTAGGACCGAGATAGCGTTGTAGGCGACTATGAGGGCGTCAAGCGCGTTGATCCCCAGCCACGGACTGTTGGCGGCATGGGCTGCGCGGCCGTAGTAGGCAACGTTGAGGTGTGTGAAGGCGGTTGTTCGGACCATCGGGCTGTTGTTCAAAATTCCTGGATGCGAGATGAGTGAGACGTCGACGTCTGCATAGGCGCCTGCCTCGAGGCATTTGATTTTGCCGCCAGCGCCGCCTTCTTCAGCCGGTGTGCCAATAATGATGACCTTGCCGGGGAGGTGGTGGCGGCGCAGCATTCCGGCAGTGGCGAGACCAGCGGCCAGGGACACCATGGCGATGAGATTGTGCCCGCATGCATGACCCAGTTTTGGAAGTGCGTCTACGATGAGTAGTCAGTACTGCGAGTGATATACTCAAGAGAGAGAGCTTCAGAAGGCGCATAGTCGTACCCATCTCGGCGTTGAACGAGACCACTGGGCCAGGCCGGCCGCTGTCATAGACGGCCACCCATGCCGTTTCCAACCCATAAGCTGATCGAGTTACGTGCCAGCCCTGTTGGGACTGAATGAAACTGGTCAATGCATCATGGGCCTTGTACTCCTTGTAGGCGAGCTCGGGGTTGTCGTGGAGGAAGCTGTTCAGGGACCACAGATAAGGTTCCAAGCCACGGATGAAATGGTCGATATCGGGTAAGTACTCGCATGTGGTTTCGGACCACCCTATTTCGTCCCCAGGTCTGGGTACAAGGACAAATCCGTCTTCCATGGCTATAATTCACTCGAGGCTTGGATTTTGAGTCGGCTGTTTCAACTCGTCACAATTCCGCAGTTGAAGTCTAAAAGGCCAAAAGGGTGCGGAAACGTGATCGCTCAATCCCGAGCTGAGTCAGCAGAACTCGTGCAGAGTCGTACCTTCAACTCATCGCCAAAAAAGATTGATCTTTCTATCCCCTGCTCGCCAAGCTAGGAAGGTTCCCGAGGCACTTTTTGCTTCAAAACCGAAAGGCGTGTCGACTTGGAGATTGGTAGCCTGCCTGGTCCACAGCGAGAGAATGCACGAAACAATGTCCGTCAACAAACACAATGTGGCGACTACGTTAAACTACTGGGACGACCCCGGGGATGGCTCCAAGCCGACGCCCATCTTCATCGGCAAGGGGAGAATCAGCAACAAACGGCCGCACAAGGCGTGGGATTTTGTGGTTACCGACATCAGCGGCGACGAGGACCAGTACACGCTCGACAGCCACGGGTTCCAGTACTGCCGCCACAAGAGCCGCGAGGAGGCCTTCACCGACGAGCAGCAGATCCAAAGCACCTACTACCCAGAGTGCGAGCAGCTTCTCAAAGCCATGACGGGGGCTCGGCTTGTCCACGTCTTCAACCACAAGGTGCGGCGTGGCCCAACCCAGTGGCACCACCTGGGCCTGCACAACCTGGCCAACCGCGGGCCCGTCACCAGAACTCACGTCGACCAGTCGTACCATGGTGCCGAGCGGCGGTTGCGCTGGGAGTTCCCCACCGAGGCTGACGAGATGCTCAAGCGGCGGTATCAGATTATCAACGTCTGGAGGCCGATCCAGCCCATCCTCAAGGACCCCATTGCCGTGGCTGACGCCGGCTCCGTGGCCGACTCCGATCTTGTCGGGGCCGAGATGACTGAGGACGACTTTGTCGGCGAGTCGTGGGTCGTCCGCCACAATCCAAGCCACCGGTGGTTTTACAAGCACGGCATGACGCCCGAGGACGTGTTGCTCATCAAGTGCTTCGACTCAGACACGGTCGTGGCCCGCCGGGCGCTGCACTCGGCGTTTGAAGACGCCGCGTACCAGGCGTGCGAGTCTCGGCAAAGCATCGAGGTCAGGTGCCTGGTTTGCTACTGACGTCGGCTCGTGCTCTAGCCTAGGCAGCCAAGGTTGGTTGTTGGTAGGGTGAGGGGGAATGCTACTCTCTCATGGGTGCTTCGTATTCACTTTCTGTTTCATGCGGCTTGCGGGTCTGCGGAAGCGGGGTTGAGCTGATGATATCTCCTGCATTTGGAAGATGGTACGCAATGCACGGGTACGTAGCGGATATCGACCAAGGAACGGGGTAGTAGTACCAAATTATCAGTCCGGAGTTCTTGAGAGCCAAGACGATTAGCGAATACCTCCCCGAGTACCTGTATATAATGCTTGCGTCCCCTTCACTGGCCCTCGCGTCCCAATCCATCAACTCCCACCCGACCGTCGACGCTATCATCAAGTGCCTTGGATCATAAAAGCAGCATCATGGCTCCCGTCCTTGACCCCCCCCAGACCATCGACTGGATGGGCAAGAAGGTGCCCGTCTGGCCTATGCAGACCATCAACTACGGGCTCTTGCTCTCCCAGGATCCTGCCGAGATCGACAAGGTGGTCAACGCTTGCTTGGAGGAGGGCTACTTTTATCTCGACCTCCGGGGCATCGATGGCCGCCGAATGCTTGCCGACCAACAGGAGACGCTCAAGTTAATGAAGCGCTTCTTCGACGCCCCCCTTGAGGCCAAGAACGAGTTTGGCCTCATCTCGTCGCATCTGGGGTGTGTTGCTTCCTCTGTCTTCCCCTGTCCTGCCCCGGGACAGACTCGGGCCGTCGATGACGCATGATTCTGACCAAGCTCTCATCAACCCAGCTATGAGCCCGTGGGCAGCCGCACTGGTGTCGGAGCCGGCACCAAGGATGGCTACGAGATGCTCAAGGTGTCGCGGGACGAGATCCAGCGGGACAGCCCCAAGATCCCGGCGCCCGTCAAGAACAGCGGTGACTTGCAGATCCTCGAGAACGCCATCGGCAGCTGCAACACCGTCACCAAGGTCATCTTGTCGGCGCTGTCCACCGGGCTGCACCTCACCGGTGCCGGGCGCTTCGAGAACTCGCACCGCAACGAGCGGCCCTCGACCACGACTGTGCGTATTCCCTTCTGCCAACTCTTTCTGTTCTCATTGTTCATGATTGTGCTTGTCATATGTATTGCCGCTTAATGCACACCCACCACTTACACCGTCGCGATGACCAGCTGTCCATGATGCACTACCTCCCCTCCGAACTCGCCGGCGAGAACCGCATCGGGCACCAGAAGCACACCGACATCAGCACACTTACTCTCCTCTTCAGCGAGCAGTGGGGCCTGCAGATTCGCCCTCCCGGTGCCTGCGGTGCGCGTGAGATGGGCTTCGTGGCGCCCAAGCCCGGCTGCGCCTTCGTCCACGTGGGCGACTCCCTGCGCTTTGCCAGCGGCATGAAGTTCCAGAGCTGCATACACCGCGTGGTGCCTTTCGATCCTACCGAGCACCGATACTCGATCGCCTATTTCCTGCGCGCCGAGGACGATACCATGTTTGTTGACTCGGAGGGCCGCGCCATCACCGCGGGGCAGTGGCACGACGAGAAGTTCAAGGCCTTTACCGACCAGGAGCTGTGGCAGGCTATGGCGCCCAAGTCGATGATTTTGGGGGGTATGAAGGAGGACGGTGAAGATGAGCCCATTGCTGCGAGGGTGGTAGATGCAACAGCCCAGGCTGCCGTGTCGGCCAAGGCTTAAGTTGAGCCTGGTTTTATGTGTCCGTGAACGATCGATCCCGCACCGCGACTTGTGATTAAAGACCGTAGTCAATAAGAAGCACAAATTCACTCTTTTATGCAAGACGGTAACTCTGCGTCCAGTAAGGGGATCTATACTTGTTGCTGGTTGAGCAAAAGTCGGAAAAGGAAAAGACGGACAGGCAATGAGGCCCTTGTCAAAATTTGCCTACTTGTTCGACGCCATTTTGTCTTTTGTGTTATGGCAGCACCCTCCCCTCGTGACAAGACAGGAATTGTGTCAATTTATTCGCCGGCTCTATTACCGAATAACTAATCACCCACCTCGAGGTCGGCTCAATCCAACAAACCTGACCATTCAGCTCGTAGGGCGCGGATGACGTGGCGCCGACATATCAGCATGTCGGATGAATTAATAAGAATGAATGTTACAGCCGCTCATCCCGCAACAAGCCACGTTCTTGACAGGCACCACTCCTTCAGCTATGCGGCAAACTCAACCATCACTAGCCGCTGGTGTGGATATTGACTCATCTCGGATCGATGAGTGATCTTGAGCGACCGATCACTCATCGCTCCCGAGTGCTCTAGATTTGAGGTAAATTACCTTTCGAGACAGCGACTTTCAATGAAAAATGTTGACGCCTCACAGCGCTGCCAGCTATATAAACGAAGCAACATATCTTGCTCCCACAGCTTTCCAAACAATGTGAACGGGACCCAAGTGGATTTTATCCTAGCCTTCTCCAGAAGAATATCTGCCGAACTAGATACATCCTTCCGCCAATAATAATGGCACCACTTGTCTTCGTGATTGGCGGGACGGGCGCCCAGGGCATTCCTATTATCCAAGGGCTCGTCCAGGACGGCGCATACGCGGTCCGCTTTTTGACCCGAGACGTCAATTCCCAACGATCAAAGCATCTTCTTAGCCTGGGGAACGTGGAGGCTCTGGAGGGAACGTTTACTGATGAAGACGCACTTCGGAGGGGGTTCCGCGGCGCCCGCTATGCATTTGTCAACATTGACGGCTTCAACGCCGGGGAGAAGACGGAGATGTTCTGGGCTATCCGAGCCTACGAGCTGGCGCTCGAGGAGGGAATCGACTTTTTTGTCTACGGAAACCTCGACTACGTCTACAAGAAGAGCGGCTTCGACCCCAAATTCCGGACGGGCCACTACGACGGCAAGGGCCGCATCGCGGAATGGATCCTGCAGCAGAACAGGGACCCGGCCATCTCGAAACGAATGGGCGCGGCAATCTTCACCACGGGCCCATACATCCCCATGGTCCTCGCCGCCGGGACGCCCATGTCGCCGAGGGTCGAGGACCAAGTAGTCACCTGGCGAGTGCCGCTGGGCGACGGCGCCGTGGCCCACGTCGATCTCGACGATTGCGCACACTATGTCCGCTGGCTGTTTGACCACCAGGCGAGGGCCAACGGGATGAACCTCGAGGTTGCCATTGACTTGATTGACTACCGTGACTTGGCGCGGGCCTTTGAGACGGTCACTGGGCATGCTGCGAGGTATATAGACACCAGCCTTGATGAGTATTGGACGAGCGGGCCGATGGGCACTGGCGGCCGACCTGCCGGGTATAATGCTGACCCGGAGGATCCGGCAACGATGAGCTTGCGCGCAAACTTTACTGGTTTCTGGAATATGTGGAAGTATTCGGGTGGCAATGAGGGGGTCATTCGCCGCGACTTTCAACTCCTCGATGAGATTCATCCCAATAGGGTGAAGACGGCTGAGCAGTGGTTCCGGCGGGAGGAGGAGAAGAGCAAGGAATTGGGAACTCCTTCCCTGTGGGAGCGGGCTAACAACCTCAGACCTGTATTGAAGGGTCTGGAGGACGGGCGGGAAGGTCGTCTGTAGATGTGCCGCGAGGGACGAACTGGGGGAAGTTGAGATGGTCTGTAGGTTTGGTGAGAGTTTGTGGAGTAGGGCAGAATGGGCTGTGATCTCTGTTATGAAGAAAATGACATTTGTGTTTCTCTTTATTTGAGCCATTAAGAGTACATAATTGCGGAAAAGAGGGTGTAATAATAATGTTCGTGTGTATTGTTGAAACAGAAACGTGAAAGCAGACTACTGGTAGCCCTAGTAAGCCTTTGCAACAAACAGCCTATATTCCCGTATGCCAGCATTGACAGTCTAGAGGAAGGACCTCGGAACATGGCACATAGGAGCACTGACGTACGAACGATAGTACTCTGTAGTGTTCTAAGACTGGCGAATTATATTCTTAAATATCGTCGCTAAGCCAAGGGTCGTTCTTCAGCTCCCTAGCCGTTGCGCGATCCTCGGGAAGCCAGCAAAGCATCCTCCGCATAAATTTAAGAAAGCGGTCTGCTTCGTCCTCTGGAATGCAATCGGGCATTTCACTTTGCAAACTTCTTGTATAAGGAACCAACTCGTTACGTACGAATTCACCTAAAGCCTCTTTAGTTGGAGTGCCAGCAAAGGAGGTGGCTAGTAGCCAACATGATCTTACCTTCATTAGTGAAGAATGGGCCTCCGTAAAACTCGGCAGCGTTGCTGCACAATTCGCCGCGAGCATTCCGTACCCTAGGACTCCACTGCCATCGTCGCATGCTCCTCTCGCGTTGTATCATTGTCGGCGGCACAGGGCCAAGTAAGGCGATCATCTCGGCCAGGTGCTCTGCTGGGGAATATGGGTGTGAGTGGCTCTGCTGGAAAGGCCCTTGGCCTGCGAGGAAGTCCCAAACCTATTATAATCAACGACCGCACCGTGGAGTTCGTGGCCCAATCCCTTGGGTGGTTAAGAACAAAGCGGAACGGAACAATTAAACTCGGGAAGCACTTACCATGATGCCAAAGTTCCATATATCGGCGCTATAAGACCATCCCACCCCGAGAATCACCTCTGGGGCGTGGCAATCGTCAGGTTGTATGGGATGAATATGGGGTCCGGGTGTGTCCCCCCGCTGTGCCAGGCCGAAGTCGGTGATCTTGGGGTACATATTCTTCAATCTCTCCTTGCCATCAATGTCTCCAAAGTTATTATGGCACCTGTATACTGTCCGGTTCCCAATCGTCTTTCGGGCCATTGGGTGCTGTATCTGTCCTTGGACAAATTCTTCAATAACAGACTGATCTTCGAAAGTGACCATGATATTGTCGGGCTTTAGATCTGGGGCCGGAGTGAATAAAGTAATTATTTGCAAGGTAAAGATATCAGAGGTGACAGCATACCGGTATGGATGATGTGGCCTTGTTCGTGTAAAAAATCAAGCCCCTCGAGAAGAATCTGGATATATCCCTTTACTAGAGGCATCCATGGACGCGTGGCCTTGTCTTGGCCCATGATACGCCTCCTGAATAGCCAAAGCGGTTCCCTCATGGGTTCAAAAACCAAGGCTAGGTGCGAAGAGCCCGTGGGCGAATCTAGGACGAAACTCTCAATAGCTGTCCCTAAAATGGCACGTCCTCGGTGTTGTGATTTGACCGTGGAGAGGTGGATGGAAATATCCAACTCGTGCGGGCTCTCGTTTTGTACAATATTACGAGTACAAATCTTGATAGCGACAAACTTATTCGACTTTTTCCAGCGGTTCCTAGAAGCCATAGTGTTAGCGACGGATTGGGCGTAAGCGTAGATGAGAACTGAAGAAAATGAAGTCAAATGGTGGGGGAAGATGAAAAAAAAGATAAATGGGAAATGCCAAGTTACGACTCATTATCATTGGCAAGCCAGACAGTGGATGAGGTTCCCCAGCCGAGTTTGGCCAGCAACTCAAATCTGCCATTTAGAACGTCTCCCGGGTTTGCAGGGTAGAAAGCCTCTGGATCATAACGTGGAACGTTCTCCTCATCAACGGGGACTTCCATGGGAAGCGTCTGGGGTACTCGAATTGATTGCGCCGGGGAAGACGACTTCATCCTTCTGAGGACGGATGAGACGAGTGGTCTGAACGGCATATGGAAGAGAAGGCGCGTGCGACTTGCGGAGTAGAATTGAGACCGGTTTCGGCTGGCAGCCAGCAGTCCTTGAATGCAACGAGAGGCCGCAGCCTTTTGCGGCCCAAAGGTCATCTTATGCTGCGTTGGCTGGTGTGTGAAGAAATAAGGATAGCACTTGAGAGAATTGTGGATTGCAAGCGACTAATTATCGGCTAAACGTCGTTACGCTCCGAAGGTGCCACAAGGTTTCAGACATGATATCTGTGTTTTTTTATCTATAGAAACCATTAAGACTCACTAGGTATGTGGCGAATGGTTGTGATAATGCGGCTCGCTTTTGATGCCTTGCTTATTGGTTGATTCGGAAGAAAGCAGCGCATTTTGCACATGCATGAATGTCGAGTGACTTATGCTATAATTGCGTCTGACGAAGAAAAGTCATACCTATCATATACAGAATTAACATGATGTTGTTCTATACGACTGTGATAAGATTATATGTCGTCTCGCCCGCAGGATACTAATACTCCCGCTCTTGGATACGATTGTCTGTTAAATCTAGCTGGGTAGTAGACATTGCAATACCTATCTGAATACTTGCACCATCAATCATCTTTTTGGGTATATATTTTGGGACAAAAACAGGACACTATTCAACTTACTGGATTTCCATTGTTATTTGACCACCATGTCCTGGTCGGGCACCGAACGAAGATGGACGGTGCATCAACTACGTGCTGGAAAGCCTGACACCGCAGCGACTCTGAGTTTGAATGCCAACCAGCCAGTCGAAATTAGACTCACGGACCATGTTACCCCTGACGCTGAGACCGACTGACTGAAACAAAGCTTAAGGAAAGATAATATAGAGACGGTTTGAATATGTTGGCAGGATGGGGGTATTGGGCGATAAAAGGCAGTGTCTTGGGGACACTGTCTATTCCCTTTTTCCGTTATAAAATAACGCGTATTTATCTGCCCTAATCCGGATTAGAATGGTCGGCAACATATTCATTCGATACTTCACCAACCAACCAACAGCATGAGCCAACCAGTCATTGTGTGGACGTGGTTCAGTTCCCAACCAAAACATCAACCAGCACTTGTTCCAGCCTCGCCTTACGCCAGCCCTGTTTACGGACGGCCGCACAATTGAAGACCATGGAGAGAAAGGCCTCGTTACCATTAGCACAGACAGTCATGGTATCCGCCCCTAGCAAAGTTATAGTATTCGGCGAATATACCGCCGTGTTTAATAAGCCCGCTATCGCCGCAGCTATCTCCCTCAGATCTTATCTTCTTATTATGACCCTTTTTAAGTCTTAACGTATTATTAGGTTAAACTTTAAAGATATTAACTTAAATTATACCTAGAAAATAAATACTCTATTATAAAGTACTTTTTATAATTAAAGAAGAAAAAGTTTTATTACTCCCTTATTAACTCCCCTAACTTTAAGTTACTTAAAGCTATTATACCACATGTAAAGAAGGTATCCAAGTATCTCCTAAAAAAGCAGCGAAAAGTGTACGTTTAATTCGTGATCGCCTTCCTTTACCTCTTTCTTTTATTAAGGTTATTAAATAGCTCTAGCTTTATTTACACTCTACGCTCTATTATTTCTGTTAGTGCTAGCCTAGGTAGTAATACTAGTATTTACGTCTAGCGCTGTTTCTTTAAATACGAACGCTTACTAGACCCTATCTAGAGTATTAAAAGTGGTGTAGTTTTATAGTTTTTAGTGAAATTTAATGTAGTGTAATATAAAACTATACTATATTACATTTTAAAAATTAATGTAATACATAATATTAATTAATTTATAAGCTATTATTAGCTAATCTAAATAATAAGCTAAAATAAAGCTAGATTTACTTACTAATATTAGTATTAATAAGTAAATATTTATTAGCTAAAATAAGCTAAAGATAGGGATTAAAAAACTAATAAAAATAAAATAAAAGAGAATTATAAGGGAATTATATTAAGTAAGTAAGTATTATTTTATATTATTATTATA